CCGTTAGGCCTCGTGTGTGGGGAGGGACTGGAGCCCCTGGGGGCTCCACGCATGATCCTCGCCCCTCTACGGGGCTCTGGGGGAGAGAGTGAGGGAGGGAGAAGGCCGTGGCCACTCCAAGCCCGCTGGCAGCGGGCGAGGCCGCGCCGGTGTCAGCCCCCTTGCTGTGTGCACGTGTGCGGCTTAAATACTGAAAATAAAGATACAAGACAAAGCTCTTAAGTCTTTCTTATTTTCCTTTTTGATGCTGTCAGGGTCTATTAATTTGAATCCTCCAGGAAATCTTCGTAGCTGCTCCTCTTTTGGAAGCTTTAGCTGTGTAAGCAAAGAAAGGGCATGGGAGGTGGTCCAGACATAAAAGCAATATGCTCATATTTATTTGTTCTAGGCATTTAACAGTTTCAGATTGAATTCTGACACTGGAGTTAGCTCTTTTCTATGATTTTCTTAGCCCAGTGTTATGATTTGGGAGCATTAATAACATTATAATTTTTTTTTCTTTTGTAGTCTCACATAATGGCAGCAAAGGCAGTGGCAAACACCCTGAGAACATCTCTTGGGCCCAATGGTAACCCTGAAATAATGTTAATAACTCTTTCAGTATTTTTTCAGGGGTTTATTTGTTTGCTTTAACCGTTGCCTTTTGTTTTTTCTAGGTTTGGATAAAATGATGGTGGATAAGGATGGTGAGGTGACTGTGACAAATGATGGTGCTACTATTCTGAACATGATGGATGTGGATCACCAGATAGCTAAACTTATGGTGGAGCTGTCCAAATCTCAAGATGATGAGATTGGGGATGGAACTACGGGAGTTGTTGGTAAGAAAAGATTTTGAACTTAGTTCATTTCCCAGTTTCATAATCAAGCTACTTAAAATGCTTTTGGAGATGTTGATGTTTGATGTAGATAAAGCTTTTCTGTAAAATATTTTAAAATATTTAATACTTTGATATTCTTGTCAATTTCTGTATTGGGAGCCTTTTAATGAGAAAGATGATTTCTGTATTTTAAAATATGGTTACATTTGCAATTTGTGTTGAGAGTCCTCTGTCTACTTTCAGATTTTAACTTTTTTTCTTACCTTTCTTCAGGTATTGCCTTTGACTCTTGTGCTTCTTTTTAAAGTAAAATAGAATCTTCTTTCTAAAAATGCTAGAAGGGAAAAGGAAAAAAATCTGATGGACTACTTTTCAATTTCTCAAATATGATGCTTCAATTTATGGGAGAGTAAACATTATTTTAAATTTTGTTCTCTAGTTCTGGCTGGAGCACTGCTGGAGCAGGCGGAGCAGTTACTGGATCGCGGTATTCACCCTATCAGAATAGCAGATGGTTACGAACAGGCGGCTCGCATTGCGATTGAGCACCTAGACAAAATCAGCGACAGCTTTCCAGTCGATCCGCAGAACACTGAACCACTGATCCAGACAGCAAAGACAACTCTAGGCTCCAAAGTGTAAGCTCATGAGAAACTCACAACGAGTTTTACCTTTTTCCTTATGGACGCTTTTAATTGAAAGGAGAAATCCTGATGTGTGCTTGATATTTTGGTAGAGTATTAAATTATTTATAATACAGGGATGAGAGTTGAATGTTCTTTTGTATTTACTTGATTTCTAGTCCAGTTTTTCAATAGACTCTTGGACTCTTGGTTGTGTCTGTTGACCCCCAGTTCTAAAAACTGCATACTCATTTTTTTAAAAGATGATGCAACTGAAAGAAGTGCAAAGTTGGGTTATTTGTTTGCTTGTTTGTTTGTTTTCTTTATGCAGATATAAATTCTGACCCCAGGTGTAAAGCTCTGGTTTCTGTTCTCAGTGTTCTGTTTTATGGTTCTGTTTTTCAGTGTAGAGTTAGTCAGCTTTCCAGTGGCTCAGTCACTCAATGCCACTCAAGTTGAGTTTAACTTTAGAATTGCACTTCCTTAAGAACGTGTTTTTAGTTGGCTAATCCTGTAATAACGGTATCTTATTTTACAGAATGTGTATAGTTCCCATGTAAGTATTAAGAGTGTTATAAATAGCTAGTATCGGAGACTTTACAAAAGTACTTTGAAGATAAATTCTAGTGTACTAGCTGCACCCTAAATAAGCATCAATCTAATTTTCCAGTTAGTATTTTTGGAGAGGAGGGACTGTTTTTTGTCTCTTGCTCTTTGGGCATCAGACAGTTTTCTCAGATACGATGGAGCTTGGATGTCAGCAATAGCATGAAGATGAGAGAGCGTAAACAAATTAGAGAGATGGATGTCTCCCAGTTTTAATTACTGTAGTACATAGCTTTTTGCAAAGCGCAGTTTTGGGTTGCTTAGCATCTCGTGGTAGCCACTTAAATGTCTAGGAAGGTAGCAGTGGGAATGCAGATCTTTGCCTTGCCTCTTCCTTTCTTGTCCTGTTCCCCTTGTTGCATCTCAATCCATTGTATGTTTTTGATCTTGTCACCTGTACAGAAGTTCTGGAAAGTTGTTGACTGGCTTTGTTGGCATTTGATAGTACTGTTTCAGGCTTGACCTCTGTCAAGGTATAGCATTTTTTGCAGATACAGATTTAGTTAGTATTTTTCTTACTTCATCAATATAGAAAAGTGTAGTAGGAGAGTGTGTCAGTTTGCTGTTCATAGCATCTGTGTGAGGTACCTCTCAAGGTGAAAGCTGCTGTTTTATAATACAGAAAATATGTGCAAGTGCTCTTTTTAGGGGTTTCTTTTGCACGCCTGTCATGAGTATTTGTATGACCTGAATGTTTCTTAATAGCAAGTTTTCATCATTTATGTCCCAAATCTACATCTTTAGAATATGTCCAAGAACAGTATGTAGAGGAATTGTGTGCTGTATGTTCTGTCGTATGTAGCATCTCTCTTCTGGGAACAAACAATACAGAACCACTTTTCTCTTTCGATGAATGGAAGTCTTAAGCTCTAATTAAATTTTTTTTTCAGTGCAGTACTATTTGAATTATATCCTTATTTTTTTCCCTAATCCTGAACTCTTTAAGTGTAACAAACCTTTATTATGCTGTGCTTGAATCTAGAGTTAATCGCTGTCACAGACAAATGGCAGAAATTGCTGTAAATGCTGTACTGACAGTAGCAGACATGGAGCGCAAAGATGTTGATTTTGAGCTTATCAAAGTACAAGGCAAAGTGGGAGGCAGACTGGAAGATACACAGTTGGTTAAAGGAGTGATCGTGGATAAAGACTTCAGTCATCCACAGATGCCCAAAGTGAGTGATGTGTGTGTCAACTGTAATGGTTTAAACAAGATGGTCTTGAAATACATCACTTCAAATACTGTCCCTGCATTTAAACACAATGTGGTTTGTTTATGTTTTATGTTTTGTTTTGTTTTTCTCATTCAGTTTTCTCGAGAGGGGCAGGGAGAAAGACATTAAATTATTTGCCTTGGTCCCTCCAAGGCAAATAATTTAGGTAGAATTCAAGTAGTCTTCAGAAAATGAGAAGTACTCTTGTGCATTTAAGTGAGGACAAGTGCAGAGTTCTGTAGTGAAACAAATAGACATCTGCAGAATATAGTGTGATGAGCTGTGTTAAGCACCTACTGTACGTGTATTAGATGTTACATGTGAGTCCAGGATGACAATTTCTGCAAGTCTAAAATATTATTTAATAGTTGACATTCTTCATCCTATAAAGGAAGACTTGTTGAAAATACCAATCTTTAAATACATTAAAAAGTAGTTGTAAAGAGGGCAAGTACATAATGCTCTCCATGGTCACTGTGAGTAGGGATGGGAAAGCTATTGTAGGTTTGGTGCTTAAAAAAAAGGAACAAGCGGGTGAAGGTTGTTACACACTTAGACAGCATCTTGAGAGGGGTTTATGTTTCTATGATTCTATGTGCGTTAAATGGCAGCAGCTTGTGAGAGAATTACATGGATCTAGTTAGTCTCATTTTAGTATCTGTGAAAGGATCTTCGAGGTTCCTCCTATTGCTACTTTTTTAATATATGTCATCATTCTGTTCAAGTACAAGAAGGAAGTGTGTTACTTGAGTCAGAATTCAACTCTCTCTTTATTTTATGCTTAGGAACTTAAAGATGCTAAAATTGCAATCCTTACTTGTCCATTTGAACCACCTAAGCCTAAAACCAAGCATAAGCTTGATGTAACCTCGGTGGAAGATTACAAGGCACTGCAGAAATATGAAAAGGAGAAGTTTGAAGAGATGGTGAAAC